GGTAGTGGTAGGAGGAGGAGGAGGAGAAGGAGTAGCAGAAGTAGTAGTAGCCGTAGCAGTAGCAGTAGTAATTAGTGGTAGTGGTAGGATAGTGGTAATGGTGCTGGTACTCGTACTGGTTCTGATGCTGGTGCTGGTATTGAATTGGTGAAAACATTTTTGCCAGGAGCAACCTGTGTTGTTTTGTTGCTGTCTGTAGCCAGTCAGTGGGTGAACCCGCCTGGCACGACAGCAAAAAACACCAGGGGCATGCTTTTTTTGCTGTCGCTGCGGGAAGTTCTTTTTTTTTTTGCTGGTGCCTTTCTGTTTTGCTGTCGTCCCCGAAGCGCGCCCCCGCAACGACGGCAAAAAACCAACGACAGCAGCAAAAAACACAGTCTTGCCCAGGCGGCCTAGGGTCGTAGATTACACGGGTTTCCGGTTTAATTAGTCAGTAGGGTTCAGGGTTGCGTGGCCCGGTGTGCGTATATGTTCAGGGTTTGGGGGTTTGAGTTTTGGGTCTAGGGTTCGTTTTGGGGTTGTAAGCTTTTTGGGATTAGGGTTTGTATTCGGGATTAGGGTTTGGGGTTCTGCGCGCCCGGCACGCTCATCCGTTCCGTGCGCAGGGTTTGGGGGTTTTGGTTTTAGGGATTCGGATTTAGGATATAGCGCGGGCGTGTGCATCGGTGTAGGTTTGGGTTTTGGGTTGAAAGTTCAGGGTTCAGGGCTTAGGGTTGAAGAGTTTAGGACTTTTAGGAAATTTTAGGGTTTAGGATTATGCTTGCCGATCGGTTCAGGGTGTTTTTATAGGGTCAAGAGGTTTAGGGGTTTGGTTTTAGAGATGGCGGGTATTCACTTGTTTTTTTGAAGGGGCGGGGGGGCGTGGGGGCATCAGTTTGGTACTTTTGGTAATCATGCTTTGCAAGTGGTGCAAGTGGCGCTAGTGGTATCCGCCGGGCTAGTGGCGCAATTGGTAGAGCAGGTGGCGCAAGTGGTACGGGCCCGCGGCATGCAAGATGACCAAGCTGCGACAAGTGCTCCGCATACTTCACTTCCTGCTGGTGCTGCCGTGCGAGTCCGCACCACCACAACCACCACCTTCACCATGCTTACGGTTCCACCGAGACGAGACCACGACTGCTGTGGTACTACTTCAGCTTCTGCGAGTGCAAATTATGAAGGTAAAGACGACGACAACCACCACTGACATCCACCACTAAAGCAGTTGCTTTCTGACCGCCACATCACCTGTCTGTACTTTAGACCACTGCTACCTGACTGTTTCTCCGTCCTCTGGTCAACTGCTGCCGCTACTTCGTTTAGGATTCTGCTTCCACTTCTGCGTCTGAGGCTGCGTCTGCCACTACCTCACTACCACTGAAACTGCCACTGCCACTGCCACTGCTGTGCGGGAGCTGCTGATACGACGATGACTACCACCACTACTATTGTTGGATATTGTTGGTTGCTGCTGCTACTACTACCACCGTCGTCGTCGTAGTAGTAGTA